AATAAACTGTGAGCTTGAGTAGCAGGTGACTAGATTTTACGTAATCTGGTTAATTATTTATAGTGAACTTCCAACTCACCATTGAAAACCATGAAATCATCGTACTGCTTTTTCATCCTTCAATTTTGACAAATCATCCCCCCTTCCGCCCATCAATCAACTCCTATGGTGGACAACTCATCATAGTCGATCGGGGTGCAACCAACGGATTTTCACCCTGGAAAACCCAGTGGCAGAAAGGCGATGTATCAGGTGTCAGCTTGAGATAACCAGAGAAAGTCATTCCGTACAGCGAGGTGGCTATGTGTTTGACCCATCTTCGTTCACCCCGGAGTTCCATGGATGTGCTCAGCTGACGATTCCTGACAAGGATGAAACTGATATACAGCACTTCCAAGGTTTTCACTGAGGAGTTAAAGATTCATATTATGTAGTAAAGCATATACTGAAAAATATCTTTTATGGGATTTTTCATATAACTACCCAAAGTTTGTGTGGATTTTGTTCAATCAGAATAAAAACAAAGTTCGTGAAATATACCCATTAATGCACAGGGGAGGGTGACAACACAGAAAGATTTTTTATTAGTGCCGAAAAATGAACTAGTATATGGTTGGGTGTGGAAATAAGCTAAAATCTATTCACAACAGATTAGAGTGAGAATATTCGCCTCATTCAGCCACAGCAAAGTTGTTTGAAGTAATAGAGTAAGGCTACTCACCTATTACGACACTTGGCAGTTTATGGGTTTTTGATCAAGATACCTCTGTGTAAACAACCTAGTGACCGAAGCATAAAAACGGTAAATTGTTTTTCTACTTTACTCAGTTATTAATCGGGAATTCTCCTACTGTGAGTAGACATTGCCTTTACCGAAGTATGATTTCCAGCTTCCGAAGCTTTCGAAGAATGTGATTTTTAGCCGATAAAATATCATATCTTTCAAATTTCTTCCCAAGACGTTTTATACTCTATTTTCAGTATTATTCTAATACGCTCATAATAATAAGCTGAAAAAGCAACTTACAACGAACTTTATCACCTCTCTCTAAACAAACCAGTATGGCTATTCTGAAAAGAAAACTCTTTACATAGCTCACTTAGTTTCATTGAAAACCGGTTTATCCTTGTTCATCTTCAGATGCAATATCAAAGTTTGTAATGTACGATTGTTCCTGGAAATTTGATTGGGTTAACCCTAGAAAGGGCTTTGCTGATAGCAGTTACGTATTATGTGAGGGAAGTCGAAAGTAAACGGGTAAAGAAGCACCCTGAACATCTAGAAGTGTTCAAAGTAAAAACCAGCCCGAGTGCAACATTGTTCATTGTTTGACATATTTTTGCTGAGAGTATTGAAATCAGAAGAAAACTTTTCCACTAAATATGAACAATGGATCAAATCCATCATGCACGCGTGCAATGAAAGCACACACTAACCCATAGGCTTAGGCCTGCTTCTGATCAATGCTATGTAATAATACTCCCGTCTATTGTTGACTTTTTATCATGACTCACCATTCACATTGTAATGGGCTTCTATGACAGTCCTCTTCCTAGCGACGTCCTTCTCATTTATATGGCATTATGAACAGCAGAACACTCAGTGTTCGTACGGTACGATTGACTATTCTATGTGAAACCAACATCCTCATCCAACAAAACAGATATATAAGGAAAATGGTCAATTGTGCTTTCTTTAATTTTGTTAGAATGACCATCGATAACCGGAAATAAGAGAACCAGTTGCTTCCCTTCATCCTGCTTGGGGTATCTTTCACTTCCTTCCGTTAAGCTTCAGTTTTCTGGTTACCATTTTAACACTGGAAGTTATATTATCGTTATGTATGTTCGAAATTGGCTGAACAATGCTCTATATTCCCTTTTATTACACGTGCTCTTATTACATAATGAAAGCTATTTTTAAACTTGCCCACCCAGAGTATTGTCACATGAATCACGCGCATGCCATCTTATCATTCTAAGGAAATTCTGTTATTTAGAAGTTTCAAGACAGTAATTATCTTATGGTTACTCTGACGGTAACGAATCTGGACTGCGAACACTGGTTTCGGTGATTCATGACAGCACTCGTATAGGTCACGTGAATGGTAAGTTGGCGCTACTGGTTAACAGTTGTCGTGTGCACAGGTTTGAACTTGACTCCTAAAAAGGCAACAGTCAAACTTCTTTTCATCTGATGTGGGAGATACAATGGCCTCAATTTACCCACTTACCAGCCAAAATCTTTATCTAGTCAATTGTCTGAGCATTTGAAAAACGAGGTTTCGCCTTTCCCCCCGTTTTATTGTTGGTAAAACAAACTACGGTGGAAGTAATCAGTCTCCATGCTATCCTTCTAACAGTAATAGGAGTGGCAAGATACCGTGAGTGTATACAGCGGTAATAATGATGTGTTTTGAATTTTTTTGAGTTGGTTCTTGGCTCCATGTACACGTTTCCTGAAAGGTTTGGTTACCGGTTGTTGAAATTTGTTGCTTGAGTTTAAAGAAAAATTGCTTGCATCAATCAAGCTCCAAAATCCTTGACCATCCGATCAAAAATTCTGGTCATAACCACTATAATCATCTCAGCAACAACTTTTAGTCCAACGATTAACTTATTACTATGTACAAAGACCGACTTACATGCTTAGAAACCACACATTTTGAGAGATAGTCAGAACCGAGAGCTATATTGCAAAAATGCTAGCCGTTGCATAGTTCAGAGGTAAAAGTTTATTCTAAATCAAAGTTAATTCCAAACATTATTTACGCTATCATTGGCGATTAACGTCAGCTTTATTCAACCAAATTTAACCAGTGATTTCAGTGATTTCATTGAATATACCGTGTGAGCCTAATGATACAGTTGAATGAAATATGGTAATAAGGAGCGAATTCCGTCTAACTAAACTCGCTATTTTGTGTTACGTTGCTTTTAAATCACCGTTATTCTCCACTCAGGACCTACATGTACGTTTCAAACTTGTTTTTATCATCAGCTGATGACTGTCTAGCATACAGCGTTCAACCCCTTCACATAAACGATCGAGACGAGAAGCAACGTTTTATTTGTACGTTAAATAATCACATAGCATGAACAATCAACTCACCAATGGAAACCACGAATGCTTTGCGAAGCTGTTTTGTCTTTTATCGACTCATAAAACAACTGCATGGTGCATTCATGGTTTCACCTGTGAAATATGCGCTCATGCTGCGTGACCAACTGTTTTACATACAGTGTGTATCTACTGCTGCAAATATTACCTTTTTCTTAAACATAAGTGAGTAGTGATTTTACGCAATTGCGCCAATTGGCAAGAGCCTACCTGTTGCTTCAATTTTATCATGTACGCGGTGTGAAATTTGTTCGTATCACTAGAATCCTTTGAATAAGCCACTTTATTCCAGGCAATATTCCGCTTATTATTTGTTGTCGAATTATCGGCAAGGTACTCCGAGTACAGTTGGTGGTAGTATTCAGAAAATTGACTAAAATATTCATCGCAAGAGAGCAATAATGAAGCCGGATAATTGATACCGTTGAATCTACCCTCCAGAACTTGAAAATAGTCTTTTTTATCTGAACGACCTGTTCAGTAATATATCGCAACAGCAGTCCACCCCATACGACTGTTAGGGATTATTTTTTCTAGATGTTTTGTAGCAAGAAACAGTGAATCTGCTCATAAGTGGGTCACAAGGTTCATGCCTCACTGCTGCTCACAGCGGTCGATTGAGGATTAGGATACCTCCCTTCAGAAACTGCTCACAACATTGTCATGCGTTGTCGCGGCTAACGGCGCAAACTCAGTGTAGATATAATGATATTATTCGCAATTATCTACCCGGTTTTCGTCAGTTCTTCTACTCATCTACCACTCCCGCTTTATTCAAACAGAGGCATTACCGCCGCCGTGATAAGAGTACAATAAAGCCCATACCGTTGCATTTTTCATGGGATCGTTAAATTTATTTCATTAGAAGCACCACCGAATAAGACAACAAGAGAGTTTACCGGTTTTGACCAAGTTACGTAATGAACAATAACTAAACTGCTAAACTTTAATTTTCAATAAAAAACAGATGATTTCGGTATGTTTTCAGCTAATTATTTTGCTTTTTCTTCGCATTTTATCTGGTAAATTCAGCTGAATAAAAGGGATTTGATTTGATTTTCAGTAGCTTTGGATTCTTACAGATCCTGTTGTACTTCACTGGAGTAAATAAAACTTGGGATTATTTTCTCTAATTCATATTTTCAATTAATATAAAAAAATTTGTTTATTGTACATGTTTCAATAACACACTCATACTCAATCATCTGACAATCAGATACTGGCTTTTAACTCACAGCCAATGATCAGTTAAATGAGTGTGTCAACAGAATGATACGCTATTTCCTTAGGAGAGAAATAACTGAAGGGGGGGGGGGAAATATGAGTGAAATAGATCGATTTCAGTTACGGACTGGGATAGTTTAAAACTGGAATCTAACTGAACAACTACTTATAGTACCTGGAGTTACACACGTCAGAAACTGGCAAAAGGAACAGTGGGTATATATATATATATATATATATATATATATATATATATATATAGTTATTTATGTAAAGCATGGAATTGCCTTGTTTGGGGACATTATACTGACCAAACGCTACGCGATCAAATTGTATCACTACGATCTAATTGCCAGTGTCCGGCATTATCTGATTGGCTACCTCATGGACATAAAGCCACTGCACGTCGTGCTGCGTGCAGAACCATCCAAATCTTCACACCTAGCTAAGATGTAAAACTTTTTATTCACTCACTTTAGCATTTATTGCCTCCCAGTTTTTATACCGTTCTTTCATTTGGTTATTTTGCCATTTTTAAAGTTTATGCAGACCAATTATTTTTTTTGGTCTACTAGCTGAAAGGAGTAGATAAAATATTTATTCGTTTCCCCCAACAACCATCATTCTTCTTCCGTTCTGATGATCAAACTTCTAGCTGAAAAGGAACTACAGCTGAAACGTGCACTGAAACTTGCGAAGCTGCGAAGAAAAAGGGCACAGGCTTTGGCTGAACAAGGTATTATATTGTAACCCTTTGGATTCAGTTTACGAAATGTCCCGCCCAAAATGTTGCACCGTCAACCGTATAATAATCTTTTACACTAGTCTGCTTAAGACAATTGTCAGTGGTTAAACAAACAATTTTACAATTTCTCAGTACCATTTGAAAATTCAGTTTCGTTTTATTCTCATTCAAAGGTTCTGTAACACTGGAAACTGGTTCAGTCAGTACCTATCAGTCACTTATATGAGCCCATAAATCCCACACTGGATGTGTCTTGATTGTCCAATCCAGATAGAACAGGGCTCTATGCTACCAAAAGCACCCCCAGGTCGCAAATAGTAGAACGGCTTCTCCCGTGGCCAACCCTGAATAATTGGCCTCACCAACTTAGCAGTCTCGGACAATCAACAGCAGTACTTAAGCATGTGTTGGGATTTCCTCTTGGATGACTTTCTCCGCTCTAAAATGCCACGAATCTTCTGCCGGTACTGTGGCTTGTCGAGTGCAGGTCACGAATGAATAAGGCCTTACTCCTTATTGCGTTCCACTAGCCGGACAAGGTTTCCCAGAAAAGGCGAATGAACCAAACAGCTGGCCACCGGCTCATCCGAACAAACGCCGCCACCTTGAAGGATGCGCTTGGTTGCCCAAATGCTAGACGACCATCCTCGAACAAAAATCTAATCTGTACCGGTTAATACAATAGTATAAGAGTCCGCTAAAGCATGAAAGATATCTGCGGCACTGACTGACTGCTCTCTTATGCACACACACACCAACTATCCCTTACATGTTGCACAAAACTTATATTTCTTTCTTCACACTCATCATCACTGCCCCCACCCCGAATTCTCTACCTTTTTACACTTAACACGAACTTCAGTCCTCCGCAGTAGCTGAAGTCCATCTGATGGAAGTCCTTGCTATGTACTCTGCCGTACTCCTACAACTAGTTTTCAAGTTTCGTCAGACCCGTGACTCCTGGCTGATGTCCTTGTTTGTCTTCAATTTACACTCATACTAGTCATATTCAGCAAGCAAACCCTGATGTGGGTAGATGCACTGACGGGTTTAGTTCGTACACTTGAGTTCCGTCCCATCGACTTGTATTGCATTCAAAAGATCCCTATTTAGGACTCCAGTTCCATCATTTGGTTGAGTCCCTCAGAAAATCCTTTTATGGAGTTCTACTCATGCTTGTCTGAGGAAGCCGAGGTTAGGATTTCCAGTAATTCTTACTGAAGGGGATAAAGTGGAGCTCATAGATTGAATACCAGTCTACAGTCAACTGTTCGCAGTGTGACTTAGAGGTTCGTGCGAAATAAGCAGTTGCCTTACCGATAGACCTAATCGGTTTCTCCTTTCGGCGTATGCATCCACCCATTGCATTAAAGATGTAGTAGAAGAAGACTTCTATCCAAAAGCTCCACGACCTTTTACATGAAACTGGCTGGGCTGATATCGTGATTTTGGCAGGAGACGTCGGTGCTAGAGTGATTCGGCTGTCACCGGACGAAGAGTATTTAGAAGACTCCTTTGAAATATATTCCTATCTCTTGGAAAAGAGGGGGAGAGGTTGTTCATGCTCCGACTATCGCCTATGCCTTCTTAGTACGAACTTCAGACGCTTTAACCATAGGCGCTCCACTCGGCTTTCGCAATCTTTGAGGCACCAGTGCACCCAGGTCAACCATATCGCAATACACCACAAGTGGAAGGACTGCGTACAAGACTGCCTTTTGTACTAGAGCGCACTCAAGCAGTAGTTTGTACTAAGCAGTCCTTTGTTCTTCGGTGGACTTTCCAGATGTAAGCTACCATGACATTTAGTCTGCGATCAGGTGTCCCGACCAACTCGTCCGTTCGTTTTACAAAATGCGCTATCATTATTTAGGACTGGTTACTTAGAAAAAAACTGTTTGCATTTCGCTTGCCTAGTGAATGGCTGCCTGTATAATCGTGACTGAAGGCCATGGATATCTGCTTCTTGACACATACATGTCTATCCCGGCTAAAAATAATGCATACCGAATCACGGCTTTTTATGAGATGGCCGCTGTTGTGTCTGGTTAGGGTCTCGCACACTACGCGGACAACCGATCAATATTCCTCTCATGAATGGACATACTCCCAATTTGCCTTGATCTTTAACCATGCTTTAGCGCCAGCAGTACTGACCCATCGATTTTGCTGTGTACTGATTGGTCTTCCTCTGCTGCGCGTGACGGCACAAGTAGTTTAATTCTTTATGCCAACTCACTTGCTTGTTTGCCGCTCAGTCGCCGGCTACGGCCGGGTTTTGTGTTTACAGTCGCATAAATAAATGCAACGCCACCATTACATGTTCTGCTACTGGTTGTGGACACAACAGCCGCAAATTGCACTGGAGGTGGAACATGCTGCCATCAAAGAGAGGAACCGCAGACTGTCCTTTCTCATTTCAATCGCCGACTAAAAGTCACTATGGGGAAGTGCAACAATCTACGAAGCTGACTGCTTGCCATATCACAATCCGCAATGGCGTCTCGGGCGCTAGACAAAGAACTTCCAGACACAATTCATATGGTTCTCAATTTCAGCCACTCCTATAGCTCTTGCAACATGCTTCCCGTGGCCTTTTCCAACAGATTCACCTAATGAGGAGCATATATGGAGGTAAACCCGATCCCCAGAAAGTTGAAGAGTGTCGGGTACAAGTGGCTTTCTCCTAGTTCTGTTTAAAGAAAGTGGAGTACTGCTTGTTAGAAAATCTCGTGTTTTGTCCTCAAAGGTTTGGAATTATCTGCAGGTCCTCTCATTGTGGAGGAATCGGAAGTTGTCCTCGTCTATAAGAATGGCTGGCGTAATGACTGCGATATCCAGAGAAGTATACTCTTTATTTCAATAGTATCAAATCTACTTGTGTCTTTCATAAATTGCAGTTTGCGCAAAAGAACCGCGAGAAGCTGCCTCCGTTTCGCCCAGGTCTGAAGTATATCAATCAAATCTTCACCATCCAACAGTTACTAAAGCAGTGTCAGTGTTTTCACAGACCGACAAACACCGTGTTTCTGAGCACTGGCGCGGCCCAAGACCCTGTCGATACGAGTGCACCATAGAATGATTTTTTGAAAAATGGAATAGTTGAGAAGTATGTGTGAATCCCTAAAAAGTTGCATCGTCACACCCTACGTCGTAGGCACGACAAGATTTTTCTATATCCCATTTCTTTTCAGTTTTGTCGCACACGGTATTCTACAGAATGCTTTGTCTGGTCTTCTAAACTGCTAGCATGTGGTGGGAACATCGGGTGAGTAATGACGAGGTGTGGCCTAGTGTGTTGGGTGTGGATAGACACAGTATGACCCAAGTGATGGCTCTAAAGCACCTCTGAGGGTTCAGGCATGTTATGCAAATGCCTGTACATGATCTACTTTTGCAGGCTCTATTTGCACGTACCGGGTAAAGTTGGAAGAAGCAAAGAGGCGGTCAAGTCATAGACTGGTAAAAAGATATGAGGAAGCTAACATTAGCACTGGCTTCGATTGGTGCTTCCCGTCTTCGCTTTAGGGGTCCAGAGACGAGAATTGCTGTAGCCTGAAGATGTTGAGGAGCGACTTTTTCAGAATAAAAGAAGGTGGCAAAAATGCTCTATGGTGTATCTGTCGAATTCTTTTATCCCAACAACTTAAAAATGTTGGTTAGACAAAAAATAACAAAAATATCATCAAGTGTACGATAAAAAGACAAAACAATCAACATAGCACACTCCACACTCGGAGGAATCAGACTGGAGTTTCGCTGTTGTTAGAGGTCATCAGTGGGACATACCCTCCTTCGGACGCAGGGCTCAATCCAAGCCTATGCAACTTGAAGGGTTGTCTGCTAACACTGCGCCACCCTGATTCAGTCTTGGACGACCCGAATCACTGAATAACGTCTGTTTATATGTCGCCCATTATGACAGCTAACAATGCTTGACAGCTTGGGAGAGAGACATGGTTGTTAACTCATTACCTCCAGGAGAAAGTCTCCCACCAAGTTAGTTCTTCCCCGCAGGATGAGTTATTTTACCTAAATTTAGCCTGCTTCCCGTTTGAAATGCTTATATATCTCGCAATTACTTGCGAGCAACTGCGAAATACATACAAATAACCCACACTACAAAATACGTATGGTACTCTGTTGTGTTTTATGGTCGAGTTTTCTCCAAGCTTGATTTCCAGCCGGTGCGACCAACCCGGTTAACATGCAACACAATATAAGAGGAATTCAGACAATTTTAAGCGATCAGTTAAGAAGAATTTTGTGTTTTCATTAGTGCCCGTGATACGGACGTGTGACTTACTGCTTCTAGAAGTATAAATCACTCTTCCGACAATAACCTGATTGTGCATTCTCATGGGACTTCGGCCGCCTCAACCTTGCAAGTGGTGTAAGTATTTCTCGTTGTTCGTTCATTTCTCAAGTTTGCAGGATAATGGAAAGTAAAAAACTATTTTAATTTGCGAATGAATATGTATTTTAAGGCTAACTGAACTAATAAAAGTGACGAGTAGTTCCCGAGGTTAGGTAAAATCACTGCAGAATTAAATGTGAATCTTGATTATTCAGCTGTTAAGCTGACTGTCCGGCGACTGAACGGACAGTAGCTCGCTCATACATATTCTTCAAGTGGAATGTTGAAAGTTACTCGCTTAAGTGGATATACAAGAATTAAAACATCGTTTTGTGACTCATTGAAAATAATCAACCGATCTGCACCATGAGCTGAATCACAATCTGGCTTTTGTGTACACATCCGGAGAGTACGTTTGTTATAGTGGAAACTTGATCTTATCATTTCAGGTAGGGTAAAATAGAAGCCAATATAAAGGTTCATAATAATTTCGCTTACATTTCCCTCATGGAGGCATCCGTTCTGCTGAGGAATGTAGTTCATTGTCAGAAAGCCTTTATAAACGGCTTCGACTGACAGAAACTTCTCATTCTATCAGAATATATTTCGCTTTAAGTGAAAATGATGATGAAACCGATAAGCAACTACAAACACTGTGACCGATGATCATGCCTGCATATTGTTGGACAGTTTTGAACGTTTTCAGCACTAATAAACGGAGACTCACCAGAAAACTAAAACTTTCGCCGTTACTTATGAATTTAGCCAATGCTCAAGTGCTGTTGCAGACCGCTGCACTTCAAACACCAACCGTCGTTTTGCAACCAGGAGAAATTCCTACAGCCATAGTGCAGCCCCAAGCACCAGTTCAACCAACAGTGTTGCAAACACAAACACCAATTCAAGCAGCCCTTGGACGGCCTCCATTGTCAGTCGTTCCAATTATGACGGTAGTTCCGTCACCCACTGTTTCGGTGGTTTCATCAGCTGGAACCAACACTCTTCAAACAGTTGGCCTCACGCCACAACCGAGTGTGGTTGGTAAGTGTTGCGTTTTGTCCGTTTTCGTGAAAGCCTAAGAGCCTCCACACAAAAACCACAATGAATGATCTTGGCTTCCCATTAGCACAACATCTCGTACTGAGTTCACCTAATTTGGGTCTGTTTCTCAAAATTGCTCTTCACAAAACTCCTTCAGTTAATTATCAGACATTTTTTCAGTCTTCGAAGGTTCCATTTTCTCGGTAAAATTTATTGTTACCAACTGAATTGCCTTGCATCTTACTGTTGTTGATAACCTAAGTCACACTGGTGTTCGTATAATCACAGATAAATTATTCACTAGGACCTTAAGAATCATGTCTTATCTAACGAGTTATTGACATATTCGGATACTGTTGCATATCACATTCGCACATTCATTCGGTTTATCGCTGCACTTTTTGTGCATAAGCAATCTAATTTAGCAACATTGTTATGAACTCCAACTCATCTGCATACTCATTTTTAATACAAAATTAAAAATTTGATTCTCTCGCTCTCAGCTGGACAGCTGACTGACAATATCGGAACGATCACCTTAGGAACTGTTGGAAAATTGAGGACCGAATATGCTGGTTTGCCTCCAACTCAGCAGGTGATAAGACCAGTGGACTGTAAGTTTAATATGATCTATGAAGAATAAGTATATGCTAGCATCATTTTCTTATCCAACTACCAAAGGCCGCATTGTTCAGCCTATCCAGCAGCGAAGTAGAACTCCTCCCGAGTAATGTTTATTGACAGAATACCGCTATAACATTGCGTTGCTGGATGATAGCGTGCGGGCTATGCAACACATTTCGCACAACTCTGAATGAGGCGTCTTGATGTGGTAAGCTCTCTGCCACACATAATTGCAGTGCTTTTCCACGAAAGACAGGAGCTGGAGTTTGCATCTATGGGCTATTAGTTGGAATAAGTCAATAACTTTCAGTACCTCGAGAGTTATTTTGCATTTGGAGGTGCCGTTTAGGGGGAGGCACATTTGACTTTCAGGAACCTGCTTCCACTGAAGCCCCCAAGATATCCATCTCTCTTCAACGGGTGGGTTTGCAACTCTGCTGTGAACGAAGTTTCGTCTCACGATCGTTAATCTTGGCATCTAGGCTTAAAGGATGCCCAATGACTTTTCGAACTAGACAAAGGCAGTCTGACCAGTGATGCTCGCGTTTGGAGCACCGATTACTTTGAGAGCTTCGTTTTGTCTATCCATCATCTCATTTACGGTAGGCTATCCGCTCATTCTGGGTTTTGATTGGAATGACGGAATTGGTGTTCAGATCTGGACTTTGAATATGGACGTGAAGGGGTTGGCATCAGCATTTACCTAAGTTGGTACATCCGAACTTCTCGCTTGGGGTCCAAGCCATGCTGATTACCTTTGGTTTGAAACATCCAAGGATATATATATATATATATATATATATATATATATATATACCAGTTCTTTAGTTATTCATTCAGTCAGTAAGTCGATTAGTTAGTCAGTGAATCAATAGAAACACAGGTTACATGGTATAATTACGTGTCACAGTTAGAGACCTGGATCGGTGTCACATTTGGGAATGACATAATCGACCTTCGGCAACAGAACCAGCTTCTTTCGTGAAAAAAGCTTTGGCTGTGGTAGCCGAATACTGATTGCCTCTGCCGTGCTGATATCCTTTATCCGACTGATTTTGACCAAATCTGTTGGCTCCTGTATAGGTTCACTTCATTCAACCAATAACCTCGGTCTTCTGTGCTCTGGTTTCGGTTACTACCTTCCAACATCATCCAGTAAAGAGTGAAAAGAATAGAAGCATATTGAAAGACATCCAAAAAGTCGCCACTGGCCGCGACACTTAGGCATATCACTTAATGTCTCCAACAATTTAGTAGGTAGATCACACGGACCCCAACCTAGAAGTCTAACACTTCCTACTCGGCCAAGTCCACCGGTCAAGGCTTTCATACGTTTTGCCACGGCATGGACTGACCACCTCGACCTACCTTCCAGTCATCACCTGCCTCAAAGAGCGGCTTACGCTGAGGAAGTCTATCCGTGGGCATGCGTAACACGTCCCAACTACCTTTACCTGTTTAGATTCGGCAGTTGATCCAGAGACTGACCTCTTGTTCTCAACACTTTACGCTGAACCCCAGCATTGCTGATACGGTGTTCCCACCATACTCGGGCATTGCTACGGAGATATCGGTGCTCGAACACCGACAGTCTTTGCCTATATTCGACCCTCAGCGGCCATGTTTCTGAAACGTATAAAAGAACGGACCTAACCACCGCAGTGTACACTCTACCTTGAACAGAAAATTGGATGGCATGCCGATACCACAGATGACACAGATTGGCAAAATCCAAACGAGCCTTCTGTATACGCGATGGCACTTCATCCGTTATCTGTCCACCCGGCGAGATACAACTTACCAGGTAACAAAATTTATCTACTTCAGCTGGAGCTTCCCCGGCCGAAAGAGGTTTGGCGTTGAGCCAATCTAGTCCTGTCACAGCATTTTACAACTTAAACGTGCAAAACACATCCCAGACATTCCTACACTGTCATGAAAGCTATCTATAATAGCTTGCAACATACTTGGCTCTTCACTCAGGAGAACAATATCGTCCGCATATTCCAAATCAGACAGTTTACTGCCTGAACAAAGATCGACGCCGCTATTCTCACACGAAGATAGGGCTATCTTAAGAATCAATTCAGTCACAAAATTGAAGAGGAAGGGTGAAAGAGGGCAACCCCGACGAACATCACTTTCCGTGATGAACTCTGGGGAAAAGTCGCCGTCGGCACGAACTCGGCTTCGGTTGTTCACATACAAGCACTGGAAAAGGTGAATAAATTTCTCTGGCACACTCCTCAATGAGAGGCAGTGCTAGAGAACTGTGCGGTCGACTGAGTCGACCGCCGCTTCCAGATGAAGAAAGAATCAGATTGTGGGCCTACGGAAAATGTGTCTGTGCTCTAATGTTTGCCGAAGAGTAAAGATGTGGTCTATACAACTAATACCGAGTCAGAAACCAAATTGACTCTCACGCGTACAAATTTCGCCGGCACTCGATAATCGGTGAAGAATAAGATCGGTGAGCACTTTAGACGCGATAATTATCAAGCTAATTCCTCTATGGTTTTCACAAAAGGACCTGTCACCTGTCTTGTAAATCGATACAATCACAGATTCACACCATTCCCTGGGAATCTGCTCACTGTCCCAAATAATACGGAGGAGTTTTGGTAACTCCGAAACCAAAGACTTACCTCCATTCTTGAAAAAAGTTGGAGACAAACCATCTTGTCCAGCGACTTTGCACCTTTTCAGGTAACTGATCTCCCGCATAATCTTCATCTCTGATAAAGGAGTGATATCCGCCTGCACTGTTTCGCTGGCAGGTATATTTGGAAGGTCCACCGTTTGAGTGGGCCAAATGAACTGTTTCCCTGCAGTGCTCCGTCCACGGGAATAAATCAGTGAGCCGTCGAATTCCTTAATTAACTCACAAAAACCAGACTTTCGTGCACCGGTATCTCTAATCGTACCTCTAATGTACCACTGAATAGGAATTGTACATTAAATGTGCACCTCAATAGGAGTTCCTTTAGGTTACCCGTCTGCGTGCGTATCAAAAGACCTCCACGTTTAATGAACACGCAAATAAAGTTCATCGTTTCTACGAGGCGTACATTGTTGAACAGGGGTTTCACGTCTAACGAAAATATCTGTATACGCAGGACGTTCATATCTTTGATAGAATAATTGAACTGAAAGACGTCACGAAGCGTGTGCTTAGCAAGCCTTTGTCGAACTGGTTCCAAGATTTCCACCTACCTCGATGCTGTCGCATGATAGGATAAAATCGGACGAAGGGGTGGGCCAGGTTTGTGCACTCTTGAAAACCCATACAGAAGAGACAAAGATGAACCCACAGGTTTGAGTTTCTCAAAAAGACCGGATGATATATATATATATATATATATATATATATATATATATAGAAAAGAGATTCTGTTTATGAAAGGTTAGCAGAGATTCTAGTTTGGTTTGCTGAGAGTTTATTTTCTGTAAACGGAATTAAGTGAAGTGTTATTTGCAGAAAGTAGCAACAGATAATCCGCGTCCTTTGTTTTACTTTGACCCAGCATCTAATTTGCTGCAAATATTGGTTGTGTAAATAGACTGACTAAGAGATGGTAACTTCTGGACCGATCTGAATAATAACAGTCGACAACAAATTAATCCGGAATCGGTTTGATCTATTTTTGTAAGGCTCATTTTGTTGTTATTTCAGGATTTCCATTAAGTAAGATATGTTATCAATGACTTTAAAAGACATTAAAAACAACGTGAGGGTTATTCGGTATGATTTTTAAATCTTGAGTAGGGTATAATCCAGAATTATATTTTGAGCTATGAATTTGGCATGCTGTTCCTTGTTTTTTCACTTTTAGTCAGCCTCTTGTTTCAGTGTTTGAGAAAGTATTGTGAATATCGACTTTGGTTCTCTTTTCAAGATGTATGTTGATATGGAAAGTACAGATAAGGAGAAAGTAAACACTTAATTAAGTTCAGCTTCTAGTGACTGGTGTAAATTTAACAGAAATACGGTACTTGCCTTTCCTGTCCCGTGGAATGAGACGGAGGTTGTTTGCGGCTTTCAACATGAACACTTAAAGCTAACTTGTTCTATGAGATACTCGTCTAAGGTTGCACAACACTCTTTTATTTCTCACATCTATTTTGGTAAGAGAATATTGTCTTTTTAGGGATCGGTTCGTCATGCAATGTCAGAGGCCTCCATACCTCTAAAAAACGTGCGCACTATGCATTTGTGTTTATCTGACTTCTTAGGAATATTTGTTATTGTTTACTCACTCAACTCCATCTAGAACTCAAACCTCGTGTACTAAACCTTGCTCACTCGCAACAGTTTGCATCACGTGAACACTACATGACATGAGACCCTTTGAAGGGTAACAAGACGTCACCCACAATGATTTTATCCATATGATAGGTGATTTTTCAGTTGGAGCCTACTTCAACAGCTGTTCCAAAATTTTTGGAACTCATTCAGAAAACCCTCAAAACTAGCGAGAGGTTTGATAACAAGAATAGGCCGGTTGTGCCGCACTAAGATTCTACATTTTATTTCCGATGTGACAGTGTATCAATACCATAACCATTACCACTTTTACGGCCGTTTTGAGACACCACAGATAACCTAAAAGTTGTCATGCTTCCCAGATTCAAGTACCTGTGAAGACGCATTTGTAATGGAATACTTCTAACAAGCCAAATAAGAATTCTGTATAGTAAATTCGATTTCTTCGTACGAAGGATGCGCCTCTTTGTTACCAAATCCGTGGGCAGTTGCAAATCCTTCTTTTTTTATCAGCATGCACAAATGTAATCAGAAAAAACAACAAAGATTGCCTGTTACAGTCACACATGAGTAACGGGTGCTTCATGCAAAATATCTGTTTACCCACTGACCAAATTTGATGACATGTAGTAACGCAGTTTTAACTTAATTCACTTTCTTGCAGTAGCCAGTTTACCTGTTGCCAATCTCCCCCTTATTCCTTACAACGCAGTGAAAAATTAATGCCTGCTATTGCGATGAAACTTCCGTTTTGCACTTTATTTTCAATCTGAATTTTCGCATGTAGTGGTCTGTTTTATCCTCAAGTAAACTTTTTCGTTTGAAAAACCAAAGGTGAAATGCTTCCTTTTTTGCGATAACACTGACTGGGTACAATCAGATAGGTCAGTCTGAGTCCTTATATTTCGGAGGACTCCATGGAATAAGTTCAATAACATTGGTCAATCTCTACAAACTGAAGGTATTATTATTCGATGCAAATGAAAGGGTTGTTATCATGGAAAATATTTTCATTTGGCAATCGCACAGATGGCTAATGACTGTGAGAACATCACGTATTCTGGATTCGTGATCAGTAAAACTGAGAAAAAATGTGTTCATATGAATTCGTGGGGAATATAACTAAATAGAACTTCAATAGAGCTTTTTTTATTTTCGAAGTAGTATGTAGGGGCGTGGTTCATGAAGGACACATCCTGACTCCACCTCACCAGGAAGACGTTCAGCTGTTGTTTAAAAATGAAGTCGCTGATCTGTTGCACCCCGAATTACCAAGGATTCACTAGCTCCTGCCAAAAAACGGTGAACAATGGATAAGATTGATGCACGGCAATGTTTACTGAAACTGTAATTTGTCAATCACGTTTATGTGTCGTAGAGAAACAAAACAAATAGTGAACTAAGAGAACTGAACTTCAGTTGCCCACAAGCAGAGTAGACAAAAGTATGTTATTCAATAGGCGAAGCAATTTGGCGTCAGAGCAAGCTGACAGAAAATGAACAGCCTTGTGGCATCAAGCGACATAAAACCTACCTACAGCCAAGTTAGAACAAGCTGTTATTATAAATTTATTTTAATCAGTGAGTTAACACAAATAAACTTCACCATTTCCAAGTCTCTGCAGACTTCCTAAACTACTTTAGCTGACAGTGCCTTCCATAAATATCACCCTCCGTGATCAGCGCTGCGTTAGCGGCAGGCAAAATTCAGGTTCCTGTTGATTATAGGACAGTAACCTCAACTTTCCAAAATGCTCGGTTTTACCTCAGGTGAGCGGTTTCACGAGAGAGAAAAACAAATAACCATGCTTATGATGGTGCCCATGCAGAATAGAAACATACAGACAGTTCCGGTCCAGAATTTCCGCGGAATAACATGGCGTATTTTGAACCCCCTCATTCTCTACGATAGGCCCATGAAAACAGGTCGATGGTATGGAGACCACCTTTGTATCTTATCCATCATAGTTCAAAAACGTGGCTGGTGATGATACAGGAGCATTCATACCATACCAATAGTCGGGTATGTGACACGCGACCATAATAATGAAGATGATGATAACTGATCTATGGTAGGTGGATGTGCACTCAACATTCCGGGCCTGACTTTTAAAATTATAGAAAGTTTCATTTCGTAACTAAAAGAAGTTGCTAACAGTAGGATGTGTGCTATTTTCATCTTCGCATGCAACTAGTGCAACATACTATGGTTGTGGGCTTTATCTGGATCTTACTAATGTCTTATAGAAGGAGTGAGCTCTGATGGAGATTACATGTTGGGGAGCAGGCAGATTGAAACTAGGGTTTATCAGGAGATTAATGCAATTTGAATAAAAGGCTATGTGAGAAAGAGGGAACCTAATTCCTAACAAGTTTATAGACGAATCGTAGGCATAACGTTGAGCTTGGGCTCCGCAGACAATCAGGCTAGAAGTATTGTCATTGCTGGCAGTAGGCCAAAGAAATGGACTTACCGCTAGTCACTTTGTACAGAACGTTGGAAAGCTTCAACACCAACCATAGTGAATTATAACATATTAGCAGCAATAAAGAAACCCTAAACCAGAAAGAGCCTAGCATGGATGGCGTAGTCAAGGGGCTAACTGCTTCTGTGCTGGAAACATCGAAATAAAAGGTCCAGAAGCAACCATGCACACCTGTTCCGCTAAGCTTTGACAATTCATAAGGAAGCCTGTACGGAGAAGTTAGGAGTTCATGATTAGTGCAGCCCCAGAACTCCCAAGGAATGGTTAATGGGGATCTGGTGTCCCTCGATGGCAAGAGGGCCTACGGGAATGTGACGCCTGTGTAGTAGTAAGATGCTTCTCATGGCGAGAGACTTCACAACCCATGAGAAGTAAAGGCAGCTAACGGAACTTAGGTCGGCTTAGATGTAACATAAGCTGGTAGGTGGGATGTTTAAGCGGAATGAATTCTTCACCTTGATGTTATCGGCGAGGATTTTGTTAACTCGATAAACTGAATAGAAGAAATTGTTTACACAACTGAGGTGGAAGTGAACCCAAGGCACTACCCTGAACTGCAAAGCTTGTAACCCGCTTGGAAGATTATCTGTGGTAGCCTACTGGGGTCGGCCTGGAAAATGTGAGTATTACCACCAGCGTAGAGGTTCAGTCATACCACAGTAATGTATTTAAACAACAGATGGACGTCAGACATGCAATCAAATGCGTTAGACACATCAGGGAATTTAATAATAACAACAATAATAAAAGTGGTCCGTTTTCCCCAATCTGTCGATGAGACAAAACGAGCAATGAAGTCTAACTGGCATGCGGAGCCCGAATGCATTATGATGCAAGGGCTTTGACTATCAATTAATTTATTCCTAGAAAAAAAGGATTTTGGGGTTTGCTACCTTAGAACCCCGTCCGTAATTTTGCTCCCATAAAACCGATTCGTTACCGAAATGTTACTGTTCCGTGATGTGGTTTATATTTTTTGTGAGTGAGTGTATGTACGCTTTTATGTTTGAGTCAGTGTGCATGAATACTGGGAGTAGATTTGGTACATACTTCGGTGGGACCAAAGAAGTGCTGTACTAAAAGGTGTCATAACCTGGGTGGAAAGATGAAGTTTACAGGTAACTTCACAACTTCTCAACTGGAGCATGTTTCGAGAGAAGAATAAACGCTCGCCAACGAAAACGAAATGGTAAGCAGAAACGAACGAGAAGATAAATTTAACACCAAATGTATGAAACTTTTACCGGAAAACGAATGTGTCTGCAACCTCGACCGGTAGCACTTTTTCATGGATGCATCTATGATTACAAGGAACGTGTTTTGTGACCGATGTGATAATCAGTTGAGCAGTGTTGGCAAGAACAGCCGATTTTATATCTGTGGACAAAGCCGATGCTGGTATTGCCTGTACCGAAATACGCCGGTTTGGTCTTTTAATGGAAACAATGTATGCTTCATGGTCTTTCTTGAAAACAGAAAGCAAAATATCAAAGAGACGGAGGTGTAAATAATTTACTTGCATAGCCATTTCGAATAAAGATAATAGGTTGACACTATTTGGCACAAAATCGTGTGTGATTGATTTATGGATCGTGCCAAACGAAGCCGAGCCATGTGATCTCCAGGGAGTTTTATAAATTGCGATGAGTTGGGAACGCCATATGTCAAAGGTTGAATATACCCACCAGGGAGACGACGGGTTGTACAAAAAGCGAGTTCGGCCGACTTGCCTCGTAGTTCATCTTCTAGGAAATATCGGCAGTCAAGTAGAACACGTGGCAGGTTGTCAAGCTAACTGATGGGTTTGTGTTGTGATATCAGGGCTGTTGCGATCTGGCGATACAGGTGCTGCACTATTTCGTTGAATGAAGGGTTATATGCGGGTATCTTGATGTATATGCAACCCAGTAAAGTAGCAACTGAAATTAATGGCCAGAATCCGTAAGAATGGTGGATGGGATGTACCAAGCTTGCTATTACTATTATTTTTATACCAGCTTGAGCACGTTTTTAATATGTTTTTCAGATACCCAAAAAATAGATAGTTTTGCACGCCAAAAATGATTCACAGTTCAGATAAAACTTCATTATTGTTTTCCAAAACACATGCAAGGAAGGGAATTGCCGATATTCTGTAAGGTCGGAATCTGGAAGGAAGCAGTCAAAACACAGAACGGGTTAGCGGGTGTGACTGGCTCAGAGAGAGATAGCAAAGCATTGGGTGTGAGTAGTCCGCAATGATCTCCTCGACAAATGAAATAGATGCCCCCGTGTGCTTATCACGTAAGTCCGATATGAGGTCACTTGAGGCTACCCCAGAAGCAAAGCTGATTATTCGCAGACCTCTATCAAGAGTGATGTCGTCCTTTTTCAACAGAACAGGAAAAATTACGGGGGAGAACAATAGAGAATAATAAGAAATATATCTTGGTGGTCAAAGGAAGAAATGACAGATTCAGGAGCATTGAACTGTAGAAGTTTACGAATTTGAAAGGGCAAACTAAGCAATTTTCCAACAGCAATTTCTATATGTGAATACCAGTGTTATTTTTCTTGCGAAACTACTCTCAGGTACTTCACAAGGCTTACACGTGCTAGAGGAATAAAGTTACTAGTGGTGCTTTCTTCCATAAATTGCGATCGCAAAGAGGAAATAACATCTGACATTGGTAAACAGAAGACCAGACTGCAATAATTTCAAGAGAGTCATCTAAATCGAACTACTGAGAGACAAATCTAGCCAAAACAACGTCATCGACATTCTTCACTGGGAGGACTGTGTGGGTTGTAATTAGGTAGCTCGTGCTCCTTGGAGAACACCGGTACTGCTTAAGAGATATCTGGAAACTTTTCTTCCAGCTTAAGTACACTGGGTTCTGCCCGAGAAAACGTCTGTTACACAAGCAGCATGCCAAAATGTGAAAAAATCGCTGGAAGCTGGTACCTCTTTTTTCCCAGTCCATCATTTTTGCTGTTTTTTTAGTTTATTTGTCCGTTAATAATCTTTTGATCGAAACCACTAATTTACCATTGATTAAAAAACTGTGTTGTGGAAGTCACTTTGTTATAAAGCGATCTATTGAAAATTTTCAAAAATTCGCAATTCGATGCTTGCTTCAACCAGAACTGTCGGACGATGTTCGTCGTTGCTGCATAGGGTGGCACTGGATCTGAAATATCAAGTTGAAAGGTGAAAAAGTAGCATTCAGTAGGACGTTCTACAGCAGAATATGTTCACGTGCAAATCTTGAAAATAGTTTGAATAAGTATTGTTTTAAGTGAAACGGAAAAATATATGATATTCTACTTATCGAAGCAGCTATAATCAGAAAAATTGGAAAAATATCGAAAAATTAGAAGACGGCACTTTGGATAGCGTGGACGTTTATTTCTCTAAATATGGGACTGCGATATTCTCTCACGTATAATTAGCAAAACCCTAGCCACCCGGAAATATACCATTACTATCAAATCTGAGGTAAATCTAAATTTGCGATTTGTGACAAGCTCTCCAGTATCGGAATGATTAGGAAATGTTGATTATGCAAAACCAATACAAAGACCTCCATAGAAAAAGAAACATGAAATTTATCTCGAGAGGAATGATAATTCACGTACCTGCGTTCTCTTCTTGGATCACCTTGATTCCTGGCGCTGATAAACCAACGCTGTTTTTCTTTCAACGATAGACTCCGGTTCTTCTGTGAGCCTTGGGATGAAACGAACAGCTTCTGGGATTTAGTCAGAGAATGATTTTTATTGACTTACCGTTAGCGGCCGCAACCAGCTTGTTTTTGAACGGCTGTTCGTTGTGCACTTTCAGACCAGCGGCTGGTTAATGATACTGCGTGCCCAATGGGTGCCGTCAGTAGACACTCTTACAGGCAAATATATAATCGGAAAAAGTGAATGTGTGCGAATTAGAAACAACATCATCATAAGAGTTTTCAAAAGTGATAAACATTGGCAGGTGATTGTGTGAATGGCTGAAGTGAGTGTATCCGACAGCACGTCATCCATGGACAGATGTTTTAATGGCAAACCGTGTGAAAAATTGTTCATAAATTCAAAACGTTAAAAGAACACAATGTCAACCAATTTACAATTCAGCGGGGCGTTTGTGGAGAATGATAATTTATTTTAGTTGTATAGCGGAATAAAACAACACATACAGAACACAGAGTGAGTGCGTACAGCACAAACTCGAATTAAATTATCACGCGGAGCAACATTACTTTCCTTTCAGAACCCACTTTGCTGACCTTGTAAATACTTCGACATAATTTTTCCGCTGATGTTGTGGGTCCCTTGTTGGACAGTCTGACTTTTCCCAAACGCGATTCTTAAAGGGAACAAATAGGTACACCTGACAACCTTGGTGTAAGAGGTATTGTACTTGGGTAACGTAAAATACCTGACAAATGGTAGCTCAAAGCGTGCAGCACATCACGACTTTGCCTCGTGGTCAGCATGGAGATCGTGAAATCAGTGGACAAAGACTGCAGAAGAGCACACATGTTGGTTTCAGCGAACGCGGTTGTCCCAACCTGTTTTTCTTGATCACCCAAAAGAATTAAAATCATACGTATATACTCACCCGTATGGAGGAATGACTCTGAAGTGTCGACAGTGAGTAGACCTCTACATAGAAAATCTACGGGCCCCAAATAAGCTGCCAGCCCCTACTCTTGTGGATCTGCTGCAACAACATTGACACCAGGGGTAATCGTATCTAACATGCATTAGGATTACAGAAATACTTCAAAATATTCGGTTTTTCTTAGCATACCTAATGACTGTGACTTAAGGCACGAAAGCCGGTGTCCTTCTAATTTCTTCTTGCCGCGAATGAGGCGTTTATTTGCACGAAGGACTTTCTTCTCGTTCCATCAAAAATCCTCCCACTTTGTCTCTTCAGAAATAAAAATGTTTTCTAATTCCCAGAAACACAAGATGAATGACCAAGGTTGCGTAGTGACGAGTACTCAGTATCGCATTAATTTCACAAAAACAACTTTACAAGGCGACTTTCTCAATGTCCAAGAAAATACATGCAAGTACAAATGTAGATGCATATACAGAAGGAATTACATATACGGACAGATAACAATATACTGGAGCTAAAATAAGATGCAAAAATGCACATAAGTTATCTCAAAGAGTGACGAATCACTTTCCACCACAGGAAAACCCATCAACAGCGAGTACAGAAAACTGGTGTGGCCCTACCTGGTCACAGTGGAATTCAGTGGAACAATGTACGCTATTTCTGCAACGCAGACATATAATAATACACATTATGTTATTTTTATTGTTATATTTCCCGTAAAATTTCACGAAATATTGTACAAGCTTTCTACGCACGTGTCAGGAGTCATTTTATCACAATGTTAGCCCAAGGTCCACCCAAAGGGATTCGGAATTGCGCTGGTTATGCAGTCAATACAGTAAATATTTTAGGCAGTTAAGAGATTCCAATTTTCTGAGAAGCTAGGATCAGGGTACACTATCAAACACTGATGTGTAACCAAGAAAGGCTTGCCTTACTGATTTTCACTATTCATTGAGGGATTTTGCAACGTAATCGACTATGCACGCTACTGCATCGATGGTGGAAGGCCGGGGTTTATACTCATGTCTGTATTTTTCAGTGGAACTTCTGACTGCGTTTTGAAGCCTCTGAATTATCTCACATCCAACTAAATTCAACACCATCGAGGAAAGTGTTACTTGGCGGAAGTTCTTAGATCTTATTTGGCTACTTGATCCTTCTTCTACGAGTATGATTCCGAAGGGATGCCAACAGTCAGGAGTGGAGAACGATTCAGGCAAATAATAATTAACAGTATTCATTAGCTCTAAGAAAGGTCCAGCCCCCTGTTTGAGCACAGCTGAAGGTAGTTCTTCTGGTCTGAAGCTTTGGTCAACGTGATGGATTTTGGGAGCTTGGAAACTTCTTTGCTAAAGAGTTTTTTAATTCCTGAGTAATTGTTCCGATGGAAACTGTGAGTGGATCACTGGAGTAACGAATGGACTGAGAATTCAAGGGGTCAACATCCATGTCATCAGAACGGAGACCATCCTTCTGGCCAAAGAGTAGTTTGATCCCTTGAAAACTGTCTCTGGTGTTCCTAGGTGCATAAACTGAGGAGAGATTACAAAGTATAATAATTCCACTTTTTGAAAGACCAAGCTTGATGGTCTGTTGACCTCAGGCAGTTCGCGCCTTTTGTAAGCTAACTTTTTCTTCCTGCCTAACCATTTGAGATAAGGTGAGATCACTCTTAGTAGAATGAAGTAAGTCGCTTCGGCAGGACGGCAAATTTTACAGACATGGTTCATAATATCGATGAAAAAATACACCCAAAGAAAAGCGCTAAAGCTGCATTATAACCAGGAGGCGACGAGAAACAAAGAACCGTTGAACAATGAAAGGCTTTCTTCAGACAAGTTCCGGTTAGAAAAATGGGTCTGTTTAGTCTGTGTAGGATAAGTGACCATGTTTCGCGTATATTTTTGGACGAAGATGTAAAATACTATGACTGCTGGTATTAGAGAGCCCAATAAGTATGACGGAAAAGAGGTCGAGATGATTAGTTAGAATACAGTCAAGCTATGAATCACAGTGGGTCGGGGCAAAACAAATATCCTCGTGATGAAAAAAATGATAGTTGATACGTAGATCCACGCTTAAAAACCTCAACGACGAGGATTGTCGTCTATCAGTGGTGCAAGGAAAGGTAGGAAAGAATCAAAAGGAGCAAAATTTCAAACACGGTTGAGCGGACTTTGGACTAACATTGTGATAAAATGACTCCCGACATGCGCGTAGAAAGCTTTTACAAAAGTTCGCGAAATTTCACGAGTAACACTTTTTACTTACATAATGATCTACCCTGCCACGCTTGTGACACTTTGCATTATGAAACCTACAGGTCAATCGAGAATGTTTCTGACCACAAATATTTCACTGCTTGCTTGTTCAAACTGGTCGGGAGTGAGAATTTTGGTTAAAATGACTGTCTGGAGGAACGCACTTTACTTTTCTGGATGGCGGATTCGAAAAGGACTTCGGATTTTTCACCCCGAACAAAACTGAGGTTTATTCATTACCAGCTTCGCGTACCTCATTGAGAAGAAGTTTCTGTTGCAACTGGGAACAATTGACACCATCAATTTTTCTGTCTCGTAACTAAACCTGGAGCTGATCACAAAAGTTGCATTTAGTGGCCTACATTTGCAAATGCGACATTGAATTCCTTATTGATTGACTGAAGCCTTCCATTAGTGAGAAAACTTTTACTCTCTTAGCAGCCTCAGAACTCACCTGTTGAAAACAGCGCAGAAGCAACGCTTTCAAGGATTCATAGAATGAAAACACTGGGGAACTCGAAAACATCAGATTCTTTACGGGGGAATATACATTCTTCCCAAGGAACTTTAAGAAATGCGCGGCCTTCTGCTCGGAATCCAAGGATTTACGATAAAAACATCATACTTCGATACGCTCGAAGCAATTCTCATCCCGCTGGGCACTACTGCGACCGTCCAAAACCTTCAAACTGTACACACCAATGGTAGGAACCGCCCAGTCGGCAAAATATTCCCAAATTAGTCTCAAATTAGTCCCAGTTTAGTCCCTAATTCGTCCCGATTTAGTCCTGTTTGAAACACTCCGGGGACCATTTGGGGACTATTTTTGAGCACACTGAGAGTGCAGCGGCCCATGTGCTTTAATGTGAAATCTCGGTAAGCTCTACAACATTACTTCTTCTTGAGGGGCTAGTTAATGAACTTTCATTATTTTCGGTTTGGGAAAATAACACGATCTGTGAACACCCTCAATATTTACTTGACACGACCCGAGTACTTTGTGGTGCCCAACATCTCCATTAAAAGTAGCGTTTTACAAAGAAGTCAAGGTATACTTCCATATTATGAACCGCATTTGAAGCAACGGACGAAGTTCTCCAACTTATGCCACGTAATTAAAGTAGTCCCAGAATAGTCTTATGAAGAACTATTTTGGGACTAAATGCACCCTCTTCATGTTGACCGGGCTAGGTAGCCGGTGTCTTTCAAAGAAGTAGAACTATTCTTCATTGTTTTCGATTTATCCAAATCCAATGTTATGGCGAAAACTCTTCCCACACCAATTACTAAAATATAAGCCCTCGCCGGACCATTTTGGGACCACAATTCCCACCCCTGTGCTGACTGGGTAGTTAGTGAACTTTCATCGATTTCCGTTAGAGAAAATAGCATAATTTGTGAATATACCCTCGAAAATTACCCACCACGATCGGAGTACTTTCTGGTGCCCAACATCCCTATAAAAAGTAGCATTTCACAACGAGATCAAGGTGTACTTCCGTCTTATGAACCGTACTTGAAGAAACGGGCGAAATTTTCCTAATTATACCACGTAATTAAAATAGTCCAAAATAGTCCCTTGAGGAAGTCTTATGGGACTAAATGCTCTATCTTTGTATTGACCGGGCTGGTGAACCATAGCGTTTTACCCTTGTTGCAAAACTGGTGCAGAACCACTCCAAAACCGATCGGTTTTCGGCCGGATTTCAATCGGTTTTATTATTAGGCTGATCGGTTTTCGGTCGTTTTTTGGTCGGTCCGCTTAACAGCCATTTTAAATTGATCAGCAATGAATTATCACGGAGGAAATCGACGATCGGAGTAGTGTGCAATGCCTAGTTCGCGTTTTGTTTAAATATAGTGGTTTATTTGGTCGAAATGCTCTGAAATACCTCGGTACAGATTGCTTTATTTTCCCCTCGAAAAAGGTAAAAATAAGGACAATTATTCGAAAAATCATGAACTAGGAGAAAGAAATAAGCATTTTTAATCGTATTTTGGGAAGAGTAACATAAACTGCCGAAACATGTCACGCATTTCAAACAATTTGCACAATCCGCTCGAAAACGGGCTTTAATCCGGCAGAAAACCGATCGGTTCCGGAGCGAATTTCTGCCCGTTTTGAGCGGTTTGTGTCAATCGTTTGAAAAACGTGATATGTTTCGGTAATTTATTTTTTCACTAACCCACATTATGTAACATTATACTCATTTCTATCTTCTAGTTTTTGGCTTTTCGATTAACTGTTCTTATCTTACCCATTTCCAGGGAATAAAATAAAGCTATCTGTACCGAGGTTCTCAGGACTTTGAGACGAATGAAACCAATACACTGAAATAAATTGCCAACCAAGCATTGCAAATTAATTCGGTCCTCCATTTCCTTTAGATAAATTCAATGTTGATCCGTGTTGAAAGGCTACCAAACAAACCGACCGGAAACCGATCAAAAACCGGTGTCACGAACGGGCTGGATGCTACAAGAGCAAGGAAATAAAATTATTTTTCCAATGTTTTAGACCTGTCCAGCTCTAATGGTATGACAAAAATTCTTCTCAAACGAATTACTAAAACCTAATCCCTCGCGGGACTATCTTGCACTAAAATTCGCACCCTGTGCTGACTGGGTGACCACGATTCCAGATGTTATGGCCTTCACCTGCACTGGAGAACTAATACTATCTCAACGAACGTAGTAAAAGCTCCGATCGGAACTAAGCATAGTGAAGGAATAAGAGCACTTACTGAACTGCAATTTGAGTTACAGTTCCACCAGTGTTCGAAGAAAGTGCGGATTGTTCCTTCGTCGGTTTGGGTAAAGCAGTTGTTACGCACTGATGGAGTTTTGTCAAAACTTTTATGGCTCATAAGGACCTTAACTGCATGAGGATTTCGTTACCACTCATGACTGTGAAGTTATTGAATACTAGGTAAAAATTGTTTGTGTTGATCAAATGTTGGTAAGTTTCTTTCAAATCACTGGCCAACCAACTCGTTACATTTGATTGGAGCAACTGTCATATACAAACTGACGCGCAGGAGCTGCACTCCATTTTTGCGGTGTGGCTTGTGCGATCTCGTTTCTGAGGTGTCTGTTATTCCATGGGCTATTCAGCCGGGGCTCGGCCAATGGTACCTGGTTTGGAAGCATTCAGCTACGGGTTCCACGACCGACTCGGGTTTCTACTTTTGCAGTTCAGGCTCCAATGAGTCAGCCGGAAAACGAGTTCATCAAATACCTTTCCTGTACGCTTTCGGCACATTTGCAATGCGACTTTTGAACTGGCTGGACGATGGACGACCAAGGATGAGAGAATGCAAAACCGGCCTCAGTGGGCAGCCAATGTATGAATAATACCGAGAGGTTCTTTCTTCACTCAGGTGCATTCGTTATCCATCGGAGAGAACGTTGGTAAGTGAGTCTTCTTTCACGTGCGCAACAACGGGGCGTTGTAGTGCGACAGTTGATGGAAGTAGTAGGAGCGACGTTTACATTCATAACGGGTAACAGATTGCACCATTTGCGAAGTAGAGGCCGTTGGGTTCGTCCTACCAATGACTGCCATGTAGCCTCAGTGGTTGTACTATCTGTCCAGTAGAACTGGCTGTAAGATTTTCTGTTAGCTAGAAACCGGTGTCTAAGTGTGTAGACATCAATGCTCGACTGGCGCAGTTACCAGTATATCACAGGTACTAGAGATGCCCAACTGCGGGTCAAGTTAGTCGTCCTCGTACCCCACGGCATGCCGTTATATCAGTTAACTCCTTTGCGTTATAAGTGGGAATGGGAAACTCGCAGCTTGCTATGGAGCAATTATTTTTGTGTTAAAAATACCAGTAAGCTTTCTAAGTAGCACACCCAAAGTTTGCCCCATGCATGCCCCATGGGGCAAACGTGGGGCTGCCCCGAGCTTACCATTGAAAAAATTAGGGCAGCGCTACCGTTGCCCCAAGATTGCCTCATGGGGCTAGCCCCATGAGGCAAGCTTGAAGCATGCTTTAGGTTTACCCCAAAGGTTGGGGCAACTTGGTACTTGGGATGTAAGCATGAAATGCACAGTCACGTAACACTTTTAGTTGTAGATTTATATCTACAAAGTTTTAGTCTCGGTATAGCATACTTGGAAGGTATTCCTTTAAGCTGCTTATCAGTATTATTAATAATAATTCAACTTATCAGATAAATGTTCCAGTTGGAAGTTCAACTGGAACTCTTATCTAATAATGGTAGTTTTGTGCAGAAAAGTACATACCCTGCATTGGTATCTCATGTGTAGAATGATCGTTCTTATTATTACGTTTTACCGAACGGACTTGGAATGACCTGTTAGTGGAATCGAAAGCTTGGGCTTTTTCCTTTCTACTGTAGGTGCAAACAAAGTCCGTTGAACGTCCACTAGTCTTCATCGTAGGACGTTAAACATGGACAGAGATGGTATACATCCCTAGTGAGCACTCTGGATGCTACTGAAACACGTACTCAAAATATGTGTACGAAGAGTTATTTGTGTAACCGTATTGTGGCCACAGTTTACGTAAACAGTGATACGTACGTACCATGATGTTCGTAAATACGTGACGTTGAACGCGTTCAACGTGGTATTTCAGGGATACCTAAGGGATACTATCGGGGTCACTGAGCGCCTAAAAACCCCATTTTGAATTGGTAAAAACGTTTTTCTGATATATGCCTAGGTGGCACGTTGCCCCAACCTTTAGGGCAAACCCAGGACATACCCCATGCTTTCCCCATGGGGCTGCCCCCGCTGCAGCCAGCCCCAGGTTTTGCCCCAGGTTTGCCCCGTGGGGCACGCATCGGGCAAACCTGGGGTTTGCTACTTGGGATTATTTACCTCCTATATGTGCAACATGGACTTTGTTGTTACATAGAACTCAGCGGAGGCATCGATTTCTTGGATAAAATACTCCACATTATTTGGCGAGTTTGAATGCACAGCGCATAATACACCATTTGTACGAAAAAATTTCAATATAATTACGGTAGATCAATTCACCACTCTCTTAAAAATGGCGCTTCATTAGGGAGGGGGCGCTAATGAAGAAAACGTATTGGTTAGGTGCATTTCGGGATACAGTGTTCGAACTGATCTGTTCGAAATCACACTTTGCTCAACCGTTATTTTCAAGCACTCGATGTTGTAATAAACAACACAAAAGAATTTCATCAACGGTCATCACAGCCGCTGCACTACTGTCATGGGAAAATCTGGAAAGTGTTTGCTGGAGCAGCATGCTGGACCCTGTAAAAGGCTTGGGAAATCAGCGCCTTCATTGACTCGTTGCAACTATCCCGAGATTGGGTAAGGTACAACACAGTTTCAAGTTCGAACAAAGTTCTGTCCACACTATCCAAGGCGGCGTGTATCTATCAATACGAGGGCACGACAATGAACAACAGCGTCTTGGACAGCCATTGCAGCCGTCTGAGTTCCAAAGAAGGTTTTTCAGTCCCTTATTGACTGGGAGACCGCGTATTCCGAATGTCCCAACCCATGTTCATTAGATGTGATTCATAATCAACGTGAGTGGTATACGGAACAGTATCTGTCAGCAGAGCTCTAGGAAAACGGTAATGTATTGAACCAACTTGCCTGCAGTGCACCAACTCCTCACACATCAGAAATATGTGGCTCGTGATTTAAACTAGCTCCAATAGTTCTCCACGTATATACTCTTGGCATCTGTTCAGCACACTTTTGTCGATTGGTTGTCTAGATCATCACTAAATATCCGACCATGCCATTTGTCATTTGGTCACGTACCTGGCGCTCTTTGGGCCTCCTCAAAATAAACCAGAGCATCAACCACGTTGGCTTCAACATATAGGAAGAGGGGCTGTATCGAGCTCCATTCTCGCCCATCTGTTAGACACAGGCCACAAGGCTGGTCCGGCTACATCATTCAGTATCCTATACAGGGTTCAACCGAACGAGTCGAGATCAGTCAGATATAGGACACTAGCGACGGCTGAGGCAATCAGCATCCGGCTATTGCGGCCCAAGCTTTGTTCACAAAAGAAGCTGTTCCAAGCACTTGAACTTCCGTGGCCGAAGGTCAATGACGTCATGCTCGAATGTTATGCCGATCCAAGCCTCTGACGACGACACGTGATTTTACCATGTCCCCTGTTCATCTATCGATGAGTCGGCTAACCAATCGAGTGACTGACGGACTGATTGACCAACAGATTAAATTTGTCCTTTTCCTTCCCTTACTTCGGTTCATATAAATGTGATTGTAATTGGCTTGAGAATGAAATCACCGAAAACATATGTTCGCCTTCACCTTGTTTTCTGATGTTAATCAAGGGCTTTTTCCGTTTACTCAAGTATTATTATTACCAATTTATGACAGCACAATTCCAAACACTGGTGGTAAATCATTTCCACTTTAGGAGAATATACCCGCTGGTTAGATGCATCTTTAAACTGAATCGAGTATTTGACACTGGGCTGGGAAGTGTGTTGCAAAGTGTTGCATTTGTGTACTGAAGCAGGAAACAGGGCTTTGTCCAAGTTCCTGAATATTTGACGCACTTACTGATATAGCTAACAGCACTCGGCTATGGGCAGACAAAATTTCTGGGAACTCAGTCTGGCTATAGATATCCGAATGATTGAGTAGGTTCAGCTGAGTTGATCTCGTACGAAGCAGATATTGGCCATGCCGAACAAGAGCCCAGAATTCTTCAGCGATGAGCACACTAGTCATGCACCCTGCACTTTGCAGTGTTTTTTGTCGAATCCACGGTGAAAAAGAGGGATAAGTCAAACCTCATCGCACATTAACGGCGAGAGACATTATTCAGTGTGAGCATTCATCGAGTAATTTTTTCGGACAATCGCTTGTCCGGATAGATGTGTTGTCGGCGAATTTCTGTGGCTTCCATTTCTGCGTGTTCTTCCCCTTTTCTGAAAGGCAAACATTTTGCTCTGTGCCAACATTCTATTCCTGCAGGCCAAAAAGCAACCATTTTACCAGCAAACTGGCATGGTAATACAAGCATGGACACCACTTCCTGGCCAATTATCTTCATCAGAGCAGTTAATGGGAATTTTGCGGGAGCTGATGTTGTGAACTTTCCCTCCGGCAAATGAGAATAAGAATGAATTGTCACTTGCCGAATTTTTATTCAGAAACGGACTCCATCGGTGGGTATGAATTCCTTCTCATACTTCACGAGAAGCGGGCCACCAAGTCCATTTCGAAGGCAGAGAGTGGGCTTTGCTTACACACCGGTCGCAGCTCTTGGGGAATTGAACAAAATCACGATACATTCCCTACCTCCAACAAGTAAGGTGAGCAAACATCTTCGTTTTCGATTCCTAAATGACTAGAATGGAAATCAGTTGGCATCAACATCCGTGGTGTCTAGGGAATCACAAGGTGGCCAATAAAACCTAGAACTCTATCTGGCGTCAAAGCTTCCTATCAAGAAATCCGCGCCTAATATTAGCATCACAGCCATTATTCGTGGAGAAAATATATCCAAAGCATCGACGTGAATCGTGACCCAAACCTCGTCCGCTCATAAGGAATGGTTAAGCAAGCAAACCATCAGACCTACATATAACACATAACCCAGCGTATCTGGACCGGAAGCCCACGTATGGAAAAGGCTTAACACTACGATGATGAAAGGCATAACCGTATGCAAAGAGCTTGATGCTCCATCGCTGGACCATCGCAGTGGCGGATTTATGTAAAGACTTGGATAGATTCTAAGTCAGACGGAGAAATAGTGGGGACTTTGGGTCCAAAGCGAAGTTTATACGGCCATTTGACAGAACAGAAAACTGAGGCTTTACGTCGCCTCACGGGAGAACTTTCTTTCACGATAGCAAGTCGACGTGCAACACAAACAGCCGGGAATGAATCCACCTTTAACAAAGTACCAGTTTCGCCGGGTAAAGTATGTTGTTTACTAATCAGCCTATATGGCACGCTGTCAGTGCCGAAGCCATCTTACGTGACGCTGGCAAGTTGGATTAGGCGGAGGAGTGTGCTTGGGTGACCAGAGGAAACTGTGATCAGTAGAAATAGAAAAGAGTCAGATAGCACGGAACGAACACACAACAGTCCACCGATTACTTTAGACCTCCAGTAAAACAATTTCCATTATTATATGTAACCAATGAGCAAGTCTGAGTCGGAGTTGGCACTGACTGCCAGTCATTTGCTCTGATCAATCTGGTTTGTTTAGTTTCGGATTTTCCGGTGTCACATGGCATGGACCGGCCTTTAAGGAAACGTATTGATTATCAACATCTGAGAGTTAGCAAGCCAGAAAGGTGCCGTACCAAGGAACACAAATTAACACGGATAAATTTTAAGTCTACAGATGCCTACTCATCTCCCCCGCCAGAGTTTATGTGTAGAAAATAAAAGCTCGGTAGAAAAATAGAAAAAGAAGACAGGTTGATCAAGGAATACTATCAACAGCGAAGTCTTTAAATCTGAAAAGATGTCCAAATAGCCTACCGGAAAAGCTGATGACAAGGCCCAGTTGGTTAGTTGGTGATGCAGGGAGAAGTGGTTTGACCTTCTGGTATGACGGTGTGTTGGGTATCCTAAACAGAGATTGCTGGTGGTTTGTCAGCGGATGGTGATGGCGCCAGTGCTTCCGGTGGCGGAGGTATACCAATAAAAGCGGGTTTCGTTCTGTCGGTGGGAACAAAAGCCGGCTTATCACCCTTCTGAACAACAATATGATTGTATGCACGCTAAGCACATTGGTTGGACCATCATACGGTGGTGTGAGCGGCATCCATACAGAGCCTTTATAGATAAAATGTTTTCTTGTCATTTATCATACTTGGTCCTGTTCATACCTTCAATTTGCCCCATCCACTTGTCAGAATCGGCACCCTGGATTATGTTAAGACCTCACTGTTCAGATATCTCCGCTGCAAGCTTCACAAATCCTGATCAACTCTTGATGAGATCACTCATCCGTCCAGTTATTTGTATGACACTACACAGGCTATCTGTACAAAGCCACAATTTAAGTATCATTCCTCACACCTGCGAACAACATCGCAAACCACATCGTGGTCCTCTTTCCAGTGCTCGGTTCGCGTGACACCGGCTCTCTGTTTTACTGTAACAATCCTCGTGAATGTGGACTCTTCTCCTGCAAATCCGGTCATTCAACCATTTGCACCTTCCTACGGTCGCATCAGTAAACAACTCTCCACAGTACAGGTAATGGTTCGTCTGATTGTTCCCTCAAATCCTCAAGTTGGACTTTCTTCAACATGCCCAGTCACTCAACGATCCACACTTCCTGACATTTTCAGTGATGCGTAGTGGCCTTGATCGTTCTGAGAAAATAGCCCTTTTTCTGGACACTAATTCTGATCTATTTTCTCTACGATCTTTTCTGACTTTTGATATCAACCTCACTGTTTTGTTCGGCTGCGTGCGTTTAAGTGGACTCACTCTTTCGAGGTTTCCGTCGACCTCTTTTTGGATAGCTTTCGCTTTTGGTTCTTCGTCGATTGTACGCGTCCGTGGTCCCCTTTGTGCCCAGCCTTTGCGTTCACCTTCATCCGGTATATTTCTTATATCGGCACTGTTTTGGTGCCAATATACATAGAATGCACCTTCGAATCAGTCATCAGACATGCTTCTTCTCTGTTCGTCCGATAGCGGGAATTAGGTTGGTATTTCGTCGTGGGACCGAATAGAAGACACGTTCATTAGCCGTGCTGGAACTTCTTCTATGGATGCAATACTTCTACTCAACCCTTTCGGGTATCCAGCATGTTTGCTCCTGTTAAGCCCACCCCGTCGTAGATCTGCAGTCCTCATAAGGCAGTCTCGGATTCACCTTGGCTAATCCAATAGTTAGATATTAGTCCCCTCAGCTTCTAACTGTAGCCACTTTTTTTCATCAATGTTCCGCTATTGAGCATTTTTACCAAAGACCACTTTGAAGACAGTTTCTCTAACTCTACGCTGGGAACGGATTTCTCGTATCGCCGTTCATCTGCCGACTGATTGTCTCCCCAATGTCTTGGGCCAGGATTTCTCCAACACATCCAGATGTGCAGAGAACTGCAAGTCTTGAGAGCTACATTTATGCCGTGTTCTTGTTTGTTTCTGTTAGACCGGTGTATTTCACGCCCTACGTCTACTTTGTTATCATCTTTCACTTCACCCTTTTCACTCGCTCATTACCCTCAAAATCCATCGTTTGAATCTCATTTCACTTATTCGCTCTTTTTTCTACTTTGCCCACCGAATTTCCGTGGTTGGGCATCTACTTCACACCCCATATTGAGTGCTTTCGCAGCGGTCCTTCGTCGGATAATAAATATCCGTAATGTGAATAAGCGGACTTCCTGCGTAAAGTGCGCACTGCCTTCTCCCACGGAATACCTCAAATCCTTTTCAGAACAATATTTTCTGCTGTTTCTCGGGTCATTGGGACTATGCTTTCGAATGTGCATCAGTCATCACCATTATTTTTTCAAATGCTTTTTCGGTGCCGTTTTTGAACATTTTCTCATGATACTCTCCTAAGCGGATATAATTCAGTATGGTCTGAGTTCCTGCGCCTTTTCTCTACCCCTACTCTCAATGCGTACTTATTTTGGAATCATAGCAATGTTTCCCAATTCTTGGGCTATGTGACCATTTGGTTTTACTATTCCTTTTTGCTGGGCATCCACTTACGTGATCGATAAGACCTCCACACATTTTTCTGTACATGTCAGAATATTAACCAAGGAAACCTTACCACGAGCTCACTAGCATCATATGATCATGCAATCGAGAGTGCTTCGGGCTTCCCAGAAGTAAACCATTCTCAATGGTGACGCGTTTGAATCATTACGTACAAAACTTGTCTGGGTAACCGGGCGGGTGTTAAGCGCAAATGGGGCATATGGTCTCTAAGCTTTTGGAAGAAATGAGAGGGGCTATCGCAGTCAGCCAGACTGGGTCGAATATACTCACTCAGAAGACTACCGGTGACGTCCATAACGAGTTCAGCTGACGTGCTGTAGAAGCGACTTTTCAAGGACGAACGAGAACATAGGAAAACGATTGGCAGCAACGGAGGTTTGGCAGTGGCATCAACGCGGCCTTCAGTTGATGATGCAGGCTTCCTGCCACGCCATTGAAAGACGAATGATTTTCAGTGGCCATGATGTTTTTATAGTCAAGCAGTTTGGCGAGTTTACGGAAAAAGGCGGACTATAATACGCTGCTGAGGTTTGTTATGACCGAAGGTGGCAAGCCAGATATAGCAATCCGGTGTTGGAATACTATGTTTTTCTACATTCTCTGCGCAGAAGTAGACAAAGGGCACTGCCGGTGACCAACTTTTGAAGTGATCAATGACACTTATTCTGTGGTTATATGGCGATCTGGAGGTGAGTGAGTTTGGATATGCAAATTCATAAACACATTGTTGCGGATAGGTAAATCTAATTAGTACTTAGCTTTTGACAGATTGTGTGCTGTTCAGTTCAAGCCTTTCTTCACTGATCCCAGACGCCCCTCGATAGCTCTTGTTTGCCAATATTTTGGGGGTGAATCCGACGATCCAACCTTAACGTCACCTGCTAGTGACACGGCCAGAGTCTACTTCCACAGAAACAACTTTATATGCCGGTTCGTCCTCTAACGAAGAAACATCGACTCCACCTACGGACAAGCTGCTAACAGCCACCATAACTGATAAAAGTCAGTCCTTTCACACT